TCAAAATGACTCATCAGATTTAAAACTAAGCCCAAGCCTGGCCAATGTTTGAGAGGCTCAAGAACTATTTCTGATTTTGCTGGCTAAACCTAGACACTGGCTGGCTCATATCCTGAGGAGTTCAACACATTGTTGCCTTTGAAGATTCAAGCCTTAACTGTTTCTAAGCCAGACACCATCATGATACCTGTGGGCTTAGCTCTTAAGTAGCACATGGTGGCTGGATGAGAAACTTGGTCACAATTTCATTTTTAAAATAACAGAAAATGCACATGGAGATTTTTTTGATTGACAGTTTCTTAGAGGGAAAAGAAAAAATTTTCTTAGTGCTGCACATATTTTTGCTGAAAATGCCTGTTTTCTGTGCGGAATGCCAACTTTTCAGTTTGGTGATTATGGGTTCATTTATTGTAGTCAGCCATAGTAGGAAATTAGGGTGACTTCTGATTATTTAGCTGCTTAATGGATGTGGTTATGAGTCAGAGCAGTCTCAGACTCCCCTTTTGCTGCTAGGCATTTTGGCAAACTCTTGTGGGATTTTTTTTTTTCCTGCACAGTAGCAGGACTAGGAAGTAATGTTCCATTCAATTCTTTCAGCTGTGACTACCATTAATTAAATTCAAGGTTTCCCGTAGGAAGACACTCTTACAGGAAGTGTGCTCTTAGTCTCACCTATATGTTCAGAGTGGGTACGCTTCTGGGAGAAAAATCACTCCAGACTGAGGGGAAACACAAAAATATTTTCCTTTGAATTCTCATGAGGGATCTGATTTCAGACCAGAGGTCCTGACTACGTGAACACTGGCTTGGTTAAATGTTGGACTCAGCCTGCAGGATTAGTTTAATAGTGTCACAGGGAGGTAATAGAGCTTACTGAAAATAGCTATCAACCCATTAACTTGGAAATAAGCCTACCAGCATTCTGTCAAGTACTGCCCATATAGCTTCAGCTGTTGCACATACCTTGCTTTTTATCTTTTGACCTTGTTTTTCCATAATTCTCACCGCACTGCAAGTGAAAAAGTACTCAAACCGGGCAGGAGCATCTGAGCGAGGCGGACCAGAGGCGGCTGGCGAGCGCTGAGGGAAGCAGGAGCGGGGTGCTCGGGCGCTGAGCATCCCCTAGTGACCGGCTCTCCCGGTGCAGCATCCTGCTCGTCTGAGCCCGCACAAAGAGCGCAGGGAAACACAGACTCACGGAGTACAAACAACGGATTAGTACAAAAAAAAGTACTCCTAGACTTACAAAAGCACTGACAAGCTGCAAAGTAAGTCATCACTTCTAGAGAACAAGGACTCCTTTTAAACCCAAGTACATTGCTTGGATCAAAACACTACAGGTTTTCCTTGTCTGACCCACCAAAAAAGGAACTGAAGACAGATATATTATCTTTTCACTTAAATTTCACTGATGACTTATAAATCAGATAACGAAATGAGGGTCTGTCAGTATTATTTCCCCACTAGATGCTACAGTATGTTTAAAAAGTCTACATACATTCCTACATGAATGTATGATCCTGATGCTCTCTTTCTGGTCACCCATTGGATTGCTGGCTGCTTTTGAATGATGAGGACGGGAAAGTTTTGACTAAAGAAGATCCTACAAACTGTAGATTTTGCTGGTAAACAAACAGGAAAAAATAAGCTCCTTCAGCAATATGTGGGATTTTTTTTTTTTGTCTCCGTGCAACAGTAACTTTTTTCTAAATACTTTCACCAGCTTCAGGAAAGGGTGGGTTAGAGACAGGGGTTTCCTGAGCCCTTTCAGAACACGGCTTTAACGAAGCCGTGTGTTCAGAAGAGCCCCTAGAGAGTCTTGTTTTGGAACAGTCTGACGCCTACACGTTATTATCTTTGCTACATTTTGCAGTTTTGTGTGAAATTTATTTTTAATCTTTAACAAAACATGCCCCTGTTTATCTTAAATTCAGAAAAGGTTTAATAATGTAAAACAAAATAACTTTTTAAATAATTAGATTTACAATGAATGCCAAAACATAAAAGTATAAAGCAAGTTAACAAGAAAGGAGTTCTTAAAGATCAAAGAAAATGTGTTTATTTGACTTGATTAAAAACAAATAAAAAGTACTTTCACTTTAACAAGTTATAACTGGCTGTTGACAAAAACAGTGAAAGAGTTTCCCAGACCCACAGAATAAAGGTTTTCTTCTGATAGAGGTTCACGTAGCCAGAACAGATTGCTGACACTGATATGTCGCAGGAATGATATTTTGAAAAGTGACAAAGCTGCATCCATATTAAAAAAACATGGATACAAAGACAAGCTTCCTTGAAGAACATATTCCTTTTGCAGCCTTTGCCCCACACAAAAAAAATTTAGGACTAGGGTTAGAGTTTGGTAGCAAAGGCTGCCCCATACCAGACTTCTCTACCTGTGGAAGAGGAGATCTGTGGAAGTCAGCTCTCCTCTGGGCACTCTGCTGCTATGTTAAAGCAGGTTTTGAGCTAATGTGTGCCTCTGTGTGACAATTTTTGAATCTACCTTTCTTCTGGAGCTCCAGCAGGAAATGTACAAATCTCTCATGATGATGCCATGCTGGGATCCAGGCAAGAGAAAGCGAAGTAACTGAAACCAGAATTTGCTTTAGGTCGGGCTGTTTAAGATTTCTTAAATGAGTTTTTTCTTTTTGTTTTAATTCCAATTTAACTGATAAAAGAACAGTATCATTTTCTTTAAAAAGAGTAAACACTTCCCCATTTCCAAAAGATAAAAGTATCCATTGTTTAAGGATAGCTTGAATCTTTAATGAAGGTCCACAGCTAAACCAAAAAGACCAGATTTGACATTCCGAAAATGCTGTGGTAAAAAATATCCAGAAAACACACATAACAGTCATACATTTCAGACCTTCACTACACAAAGTGATGAAAAAAAAATCTCAAAAAACCCCAAAACATTTGGAGTTTATCTTTAAAGGCAACATGTGAAATTCATCATCCTAACTTTATGGAAGTAACCAATTTAGAGGAGCTATAGCTATTTTCACACTAATTTTAAGGTGTCCACATCCTCTTAAAAGAGTGTCACCAGACAAGAAAGCCTCTTTAGCAACTGCAGTCACTGCATCTAACTTTCTATCTGCTTCTGAGCTGTCAACGGGCTCTCATTTCTGATTCCAAATTTGGTCAGTCTGACAATGGCTCATGCAACTCCTATGTCTTTGCAGTGGGGCTGCAGAGAGGCACCCAATCACCCACTGTCAAGATGCTCACTGTGAGATTGTTAAAGCAAAGCTGGTTGTGAAAGAAATCAAGCCTTGCTCCAATTTGAAATACTTGTCAATCTGCTGAAAAAATTACATGTGTGATTTGTGTTTATGTCTGGAAGTTTTCCCCAGTGTGAAAGCCTGTAAAGGAAAACCAGTTCTTTCTTGCAATGTATGCCCTTTTATGTTATGCAGCCTGCACTGTGGATCGCAGTGATGTCAAAAATGTACATGGAGCGATTGCATCCTGTCTGTGTCTTGCAAGAATGACTTTGAAAGTTAGATGTTTCATCTCTACAGTCATATCCTGATCAACAAACTCAGTCAATAAATAAATACATTTAGTGACAAAACCTAGCTTTCTGTAAGCTGCAGTCAAACAGGAACTTGATTTGTTTTTTGTATTCACATCTATTCTATAATAATGAATCCAGCACCACAATAACCAAGTACCCATTATAATTATAAGATCAGAGAAACCTTTGTGGTGCTCATTTTCCTAAAAATGATTTTAAAAACTGCAGTCCTCCATTCTCATTCTTTTGAAGTTTTTGCTTTAAACCTAAGACTTAAATACAAAGGGCCAGACCTTGGGTTGAGAATGTGGGGGGTGGGGGATTTAAGAAGTGTAGAGATATTGTCCAAGAAACAGGAAAATGGAGTATAAAGTGTATTCATTTTCCAGTCTTATTTTTTTTTTACAAATCTGAGTGCCATTAAAACATATATAAAATTCCTGCTTAAATATTGCCTCTGTGTTTGTGTGTGTGTGTGAGAGAGGGAGATGGAGTTTAATTGCGACATTTAAAATTTATAAAAACAGGTCCATTTGGGTTACTAAGCGTAACCCTAATTAAAAGGTTAAAGGATTGAATGAGCTACATGTCTCACAAGAAATATACAAATTAAACAACCCAGATACACATATGGACCTATGCATTGAAATATACAGAAAACTCTCTGGAAGTATCACTGCTTGGTTTCACCACCTCAGGCCATCAGTGATGATTTTGGTGTCATCCAAGCAGTTTTTGTGGCCTGTGGCAGAGTGGGACAGGATGGGCTTGATCGAGAAAATCTCCCCATACCAGACAGGGCTGCCCAGTCCATTATGTGAAGGTGTTAACTTTAGCTCCTGCTTGGGACCACAGTGACAGTGAGACAGCTAGGCTTTGCTGGCATGTGAGAAGTTTTAGCCTGGAAAAGATGTCAGCGGTGACCTTATTGCTCTCTCCAAGTGCCTTGAAGGAGGGCGCAGCCGAGTGGGGGTCGGCCTCTTCTCCCAGGTGACAAGCGACAGGACAAGAGGAAATGGTCTCAAGCTTTGTCAGGAGAGGTTTAGGTTGGACATGAGGAGGAATTTCTTCACAGAAAGGGTGATTTGGAATGAGTGCCAGCTCCAGTCCTTCCCTAAACACCTCCACAGGGAGGTGGTGGAGTCACCGTCCCCGGAGGTGTTTAGGGAAGGAATGGATGTGGCACTCAGAGCCATGGCGTCGTGAACATGGCCGATCTGGGTTGGACTCGCTGGTCTGATAGGTCTTTTCCAACCTAACTGATCCTGTGCTTCAGTGAACAGCGCGCTCAGTTTACAAGGCACAGACCTCCGAGTAAGAAAGCCAATGAAAAGGAGGGCCCAGGCCGGGACACGAACCCCCACCCCTCAGAGGGCGCCGGGCGAGGTGGCGCTGCCGCCATCAGCCCCCGCGCTCTCAGCACTCCCACGGCCCCGCCCAGCCCCGCCCCTCACGGGGTGACGCACGCGGGGGGCGGGGCGGAAGTGAGGGGGCGGTGGCGGCGGAAGTGGCTGCGCGCGTCGGGGGCTCAAGATGGTGAGTGCGGGCAGCGGCGGCGCCAGGCGGGCGGCGGTGTCCCTGTGCTGGACACAGGAGCGAGCCTTACCGGATAGAACCTCCTGCCCCGCCGCCCCCTCCAGCTCCCCCGGCCCTCACCCTCTCGGCGTCCCCGGGGGCAGCGGGGCCGTGCTGAGTCATAGGGGTCCGGCGCGGCCATGGCGGGTTTCCTCACGGGCCGGGGGGCCGGGAGGCGCGGAGGGCCCGTGGCGGCTGTGGTTAAATTCCTTCCGTGCGGCGGGGCAGGACGGGGAGCCCCGGCGGTGCCAGCCTCCCGCAGCCCGCGGCTTCGGCGGCGCGGCTCCCGGGCAGGGAGGTCACGCCTGGGCCCGCCGTGCTGGGCAGCGGCGCCGGGGCCGCCTCGGACGGGCCGGGCACTGCGGTGACTCGAGAGTGTTGGTTCTGGGGCGTGTTGTGTAGTTTTCTCCGTGAGTTTAACTTGGATCTTCCCTCAGGTCCGGTCACCCAGGTACCGTATTGCTTTAATGCTCTCATTTACAGCAGTCTCACAAAGGTCTGGTCAGCGCTGGGTGTGTTAATTGGTAGATGTGTTATGGGCACGGAACAACAGGCGTGTTAGAACTGTCTTACAGCTGTTGTGTTACTGAGAGCTCACATGTTGGTACGAAAGATCTTAGCTGTAAGCATGACTTTTCTGTTAGATCTGTCAGTGCTGCTGGGGGAAACCCTTGCACTGAACTGCTCATCACTGTCGTCTTCCAGATATTGCTGTCACCTTTTGTTGTGTATTAGATATTGCCCTATTGGTGGAGCAATTTTTATGAACAATCCTAAAATCACTCCAGTAAATTTGGGTAGCTTAGAGTGAAATTAGTGGCCTGGGTTACTAGTAAGCAGTACTTAGTAAGTCTGTGGACTTCTGGTTATCCACTGCAAGGTAATGCTTGCCTTTGTTCTTTCAGTTAGCTGCATACTGGACTGCTCGAATACACCTTGTCCTCCTCATGGCAGCCTCAAACTGGCTAAATTTGGTCTTGTGTCAGTATTGCAGTAAATGAAGGAATGCTCCTTTCTGTCCTGTCAGCTGTCAGGACTTGCCTCTTTTCTTTCCATCCCTGCAGCCCAGGATGGGAATAAACAGGGGATATATTGTGAGTTTAACCTGATCTGGGTCAACCAGATCCAAAAATGTTGCCAGTACCTCTAGTTCTTATCATTACATCACCCCAAAACATAAACCCTACGCTAATATAGAATTATAGAATTCTATATTAGCGTAGGGTTTATGTTTTGGGGTGGTTTTCCTCTATTTTAAAGAAACTGTAAAGGCTGGGGGTACTTCAAGGAGTTTTTGAGCACTTCCTTTCATTTGACTGGCCTAACGGCCCATACAAAAGTGGTGTGGTTCTATTGAAGTAATCCTCTTTCTTTTTCTTTTTTTTTCTGTTGTTCCAGAATTCCAGAGGTGCTGCTTCTCTGTTGAAGGATAGTATCTCATTTACAGATGTTTCAGCTGCAGGGCTGTTTGAAGGTCATGATCTTCTGCGCAGGGGGTACGCTGTTCTTTTGCTTGCTGAATTGTGTCATAGACAGTGCTGAGCTGCAGTGTGTGTTAAATGTTGGCTTTCACAGAAGTTTCTTGCAAAGTGCCTTGCAGATAGGCCTTTACCTCTGTGATACTTTAGAAAAGAAACAGCAAAATGTTGATAATTGTGAAATATCTGATAGTTTTAATATATGTTTATATGAGTGTGCCATAACCCTGTGGGAAGTGGTTAATTTCAGCACTGGGACAAACCCCAGAAGTAATATAATAAAAATAGTTTGGGGTTTGCTATTTTTACCCGAGTGTGAAACTTATGTCTCTGTCTTGGATAAGGAATCCAGAATAAGTTCATGGAGTTTAAAATGCTGTACAACTGGCATTGGGGGGAAGCTGTGTACAATATTCAATTACAAAAGCTTGGAGGCTTCAAAATAAGATACAATGTAGCTTGGACATAATTAAATTTGTAATGATTTCATTTATTAGTATTTTGATCTCTTTCTGAAAGGTATCAAGGAAGAAAAACACATTCTGTTTTGTCAAGCATAAAGAATGCTTGAAACTCTTTTTTTCTTCTGGTAGTGCTGTAGTTAGAGGTTTAGCTTCTGCTTCACTATTAATCTTTTTTGTAGTTCGGACTTTGCTAGTTGTGTGTCTCTGGTGTTTGTATCTGAGGTTGGTTTTGGAATGCAACTTAAAAAAACATATCCCAATTAATTTGAAGTTAATGTCCTTTCTACTTATTCTTCTAGCTTTACAAGTGTGAAAAATGAATTGTTGCCCAGCCACCCACTGGAGTTGACAGAAAAGAATGTAAGCATGACATCAAATGTACCCATCTTCACTCTTAACTAATTATGAAGTTTAAATTAATGGTGTGGTTATCTGGAGAACTTTGTACAGTAGCGAGTAATGAGCGGGGTCTTTAACAGAATGAAGCTGTTCAACAATAGTAACATTTTATTTATACAAATAACATTGTCAGCAAGTCTGTTTAATAATGATCTCTTACTTATATCTCTCCCCACTTCAAGTGTGTAAGCAGGCTTCCAGGTAGGGGCTTGTGTGGTCAGGTTTAGTCATCCAAGAGTGTGTGCAGCCACCACAGGTAGGCCTGGGGCACACCTGTCGCCTCGTGAAGGCTGATCCTCCCATTTTTGTCTGTAGATTTACATTTAATACCATCTGTAGTCACTTTCAGCCTGTGAACACGTACATATTTTTCCATAAATTCCTCAATCCCATCTAGACATTTTGCAGCCACAGTTTATCACGAGTGTTTGCAATCTTGTCTGGCTCAGTCCTCGCTCATGGACCATTACAAGTGGTCTGTGGAAGGTAGAGGGAAGCCAGGCTTGCTGGTTGAGCTGAGTGTCTCTGGTGCCTGTTTTGTCAGCACAGAAGGTACAGTGTATCAAAGTGTCCTGAAGCAAAGATGTTGTTTTGATAGAATGTTCCAAATTGCTAAATTAAACAGCAGGAGAAGGTCTGACTGTAATGTCTCATATATTCTGATTTTGGCCAGTGTTACTGTTGCCTTGCATTAAGAGGATGATTTTGTGACACCAAATTTGTGTGTTTATTTATAAATACTGTTAATGTTTCAGAGCTATTTGTCGATTGTTTTTTTTTAACTAATTGCTATAACTTAGTTTTTAACTCTGTTTTTGCTATACTAAACCTGCATAATTAAAAGATCACATGTTGAAGAGACAAAAATGCACAGACAAAAATAAAATAGGCTATGTGATCCCCATAGAAGTATGTGAATCTTCTAAATTGTTTCTTCCACATTTGGTTAATTTTTCTGTAAGTTTAAGGCAACTTCAACAATTATTTTAATGTATATTTGATTGGGAAAATATTTAACTTAGCCTGAGATAGTTATGGTTGTTTTTGCTGCTACAAATGTTAAAAAGGTTTTTCAGGTAGCACTGGTAGAAACCAGAGGTCTCTGCTGTCCAAAAATCCTTCTCTCTATAAAATTAAAGAAATGGAAAAATAATGTAACCAGAATTATAAGATTAGGATGAGGCATATAAATAGTATTTTCTGCTACCTTTTGAAGAGCATTCAATATAGATTATTGCAAAGAAAATGCTTGTTATGTCTTTGACTTGTATTTTTCAGTTGGTTTTTGAGATCCCTTCTCATAAATATGATGTTCTCATAATAAGAGGGTTTTGTCGTGGTGATGGAGTACAGATTTTAAAGTTAAATATTTTAATTTTTTTGATTATTTAAGCTTAAGTTTAACATTAAGTATAACTTACTTTGTACTCCAGTATACATGAGTAAGCACTTTTTCTTTAAAAAGCCTCTACTAATCAGATTTTTTGTCTTACTGGTAAGTTTGAGAGCAGTTGGGGAAAATATGAGTTTTCATTTGCTTTTCAAAATCCTAAGGACTGTAAGTGGTGCTCTGTTTTCCTGCTTGATCAGAAAATAAGTACATCAAGTGTTTTTAAGTAGTCTTTGATGACTAACTAATGACATCAAATTGATTTTTGTGATCTTTAAACTGGACTTAGCTTCTTCTTCATCGAGACAATATCCTTGTGGAGTAGTGCAAAACTGTACCACTTGGTGGTGTTACATCTCCTGATTATCAAAAATAACAAAATAAAATTTCTGCTATTAATTTGGAATAAAATCCAGCAAAAAATCAATTTCAGCTTCATAGAAATCTTACTGTGTCACGCTCTTTGCTGTACACTTGAGATATGTTTGATGGTATCACTAAATTTTTACATACGTATTTAGTAAGCATGTTCTTTTAAGTAGGATGTCACAAATTTCTTCTATGGCTTTAAAGTAACTTTTTCGAAAATAAAAATCAGTATTGTTTGTGACAGTTCCAGTTAAATCAAGATAAAACAAACTTTGCCACACTGAGAAACATCCAAGGAATCCATGCACCTTTGAAGCTGCAGATGGAATTCAGAGCAGTGAAACAGGTAGGCATTTTTATCCAACTGATATAACTTAGGCCATTTGAAAAAAATGTTTACTTGAAACATGCTTTCAGAGACACATCTTTCTTTGTTGAGATACCTTGTGTTTCCAAAAGAAATTAATTCACTGTTAAAAACAATGAACCAAACAGTGCAATTACTAGTTTTTAGAGTAGTCCATATACTGAGGCCTCTTAACTGCTGTTCTTTTATTGGTTATTTGGTGAAGTGATAACTGCTCTAGCTTTGCTGTGGAATAGCTTCCTGTAAGCCTTCAGAGAAAAGCAGGAGGAATTGAGTATTGATTCCTAAAATTAATAGCCTCCACCGCAGAACGTATGACCTTCACAGGAAGGAGTCTCTGTAGCTGTAGGGAAAAGAGACTTAGGGGTCTGAAGCAGGTAGTTATTTGGGAGTAGATGTAGAAGTAATGTGAAACCTGGAACAGAGTTTTCTATGTGCTTATTGTTCCTCAGCCTTTGTTGTAAGATCAAGGGAGCTCTACAGGGAGTTAAGTTCAAAGGTTTTAACTCTTAATTGAGAAGCTGAGTCTGTCTCCTTTTCCTTCTTTTCTCCTAGGATGGAGGGTTGCTGGAGAAAGGGAAACATAGAAAGTTCATTGGTCCTAGTAAACTTTTTTGTCTTCTTGAAGGTTGTCAAGCTACTAAGAGTAGATTTTCCAAGTGAATTAGAGCAATTTTGCACTCTGAGTGATAAGGAATTTTGTATTAAACCATAGTGAGCTGCATTAAGCTTGGAAGAAATTACTGGTCCTGAAGGTGTGAAAGTCAGAATGTGAAATACACAAACATCCCTTGGTCTCAGCTGTGCTGTCTTGAGGAATCTTTTTCCTAACTAACATCAGTACAGAGAATGAGGGAGGTGAGGATATCCTGTTAGTCTGTCTCCAGAGGTGGTTCTGGGAGATGGGTGGGGGAAATAGGGTGATCAGAAGGTTTTTCGCTTCAAGATTCATGTTGGATATACAAGTTTTCTTGTAGTTTAGCTGAAGTATCTCTAGCAGTAGTGAATGCATTCTCAGAAAATTGATGCTGTGAAATCTATGTGTGCTATTTGAATATTTTTCAGAAATACTGTGAGTGAAGGGTACAGAAGACTGTTGAAAGTAACTAGGAGTGGACTTGAAGCTTAAGAATTGGTTGAGATCAGAGACATAATTATAATTTAGATTAATTAAAAGGAGGATTATATTTGAATGTGAAAGTCAGTATAGCTCTTTCACTTGCATTCCTGACCTGTGTTGGAGATGTAGGAGGCTTAGAATGTAGTTCCCAAACTCTGCAGTCATACAGTACTGACCTCAGGGTCTGGAGGTTTGCATGAACCTCGCCACCTTTATGTGAGAGGAGCTTTACAGAGTAGACAGAAAGTACTTTGTTATTTTTTTAAAGTGCACTATTTGCTGTACTACCTACGCCACAGTGAAAACTAGAAATCTATTAGAAGGCTGTTCTTCTCAAACAGATAACCAAAAGAAGATGGTGGTGTTTGTGTGTCTTTGTATGGCAGTAGTTCTCTTATTCCAGTGTTGCTTTTTCTGGCTGTTGATTTTTCTAAGTCACTTCAGACTGAGAAATCCAAGTATGAACCCTTTCTATTTCAGACTTGCTGAGACTTGAACTCTTGCTTGAACTCTTTTTACAGGTCCAGCGTCTGCCATTTCTTCACAGCTCAAACATGTCAATGGATATTTTGAGGGGAAATGATGAATGCATTGGTTTTGAGGATATCCTTAATGGTAAATACATTCTGGCTTAAATATTATGGAAACATTTAAAGGTAAAGTTTGGAAGCTGTAAAGTTCTTTGCCTCTACTGAAAAAGACAATTAAACTCCTAAAATGCAAAAAAAAAACCCATTAAATCCTAAAAGCAAAGAAACACTGGGGAAGGAGAAACAAATGTAATTCAGCTGTAAGTTATGTGGAAATTACTCTGAAATATTGAGCAAGACTGTAGGCCGTCTTGATGTAGGCTGGGTTTCTAAAGGAGTAGATTATTGCATGTATGTTGCATGTCTGTATCCTCAGGAACTTTTAAAGTACTTGTGCAGATTTTGTCAACAGAGATTACAAAGTTTTTTACATTCTGTAATTAAGAAGAAAATATTAGAGGAGAGGTAGAGAATTATTGAAACAGATATTTAGCAGGGGAAAGGCTCCCTCTAATGAGCTCAACAGGCTGAGGTTGCATGGTAGCCTGCTGACTATTTGTATGTGTGGAATAGAATAAACCTGGAAAAATGGCTTTCAACAAATTACTTTTAGCTTGTATTTAAGGAGATGGAAGGAGGCAGAGAGTATTTTGAAGTGGGATTGGAGAATGGAAATAGCTGGGGAGATGAGGAGCTGGAAATAATGGAGATACAAATCTGAATCTAGAGGCATGAAAATAACCCCCAAATTTGGGGTTGTTTTCTGCGATAGGTATAGAGGGACCAAGGGAAGCAATCTTGGGCTATTGTGGTTCCACAGGGGTAGAGCAATGTTGAACATAATTTGTAGACATTTGGTTATTTACCACTGCTCTCAACAGACTTAGATTTTTATAGAGTGGTGAGGAGTGAGTGGGTTACAAGTGTTTTTGTAAAGGGCTTTATTTATCAGAAAGTGGACTAGATATTTTTGTTGTCTCTAGAGGAATCAGGGGCATTAATATGTCTCATTTATGGAAGGAAAACATGATTGATGCACCCATAAAAAAAAGTGCATTTCTTCCAAACAGTCACAACATGTATGCTGGCTCTGGGTTTGGTTCTTTGTTTGTGTTGTTGTTTTGTTTTAATTTTAATTATTTTGTGTAGAAAAGGAGTTCATACTGTCAGTATTGGTCTCTCTTGTGTCCTCTGCACATTCCTTGGTAGCCTTTGAGTACAGTGGCTAATGTCAACCATACTTTACAGAATGGAGGAAATCTCAGCTGTATTTACAGGTGTAGAATTTCTGTGAAACTAGGCAGCTGGGTGGAGAAGAGAAACCAGGATTATGTCCCAGCTAACACAAGGGAGGACTGTGAGCTCCTGTTGTGTTGGAAAGAGGCGTAGGGCAACTATGGAGAAATGCTTCGGTCAGACTTGAGTTTTCTCAAACACTAAACTTGTGGGGTAATCCCTTTGAGATTCAGGCAGTTGGAGTCTGTGCTTGTGCAGAACTGCTTGGTTTTACTTGAAATGTGTGTGTGTCCTTAGGAAAAGCTGTTCTGCAGTATGTGTTCTATCAGCGCTTTGGATAGAGGCTTCTGAGTTGCAGGTCTGCTCTCTGCAACACTGTCAAAAATCAGTCAAGTAATTGTTGCACTAAGCATTATAATGAAAAGAGATGTTCACCTTCATTAGTTGTTGTTAGTATTTGTAGCTTGGTAAAGGTTTCATGCTGTCAACTTTTCTTTTTTTCAGATCCTTCCCAGAGTGAGGTTATGGGAGAGCCACACATGATGATGGAGCACAAGCTTGGTTTATTGTAACAAAATATACTTCAGAAAAATGTTTTGTGTGTGTCTTTCTAGTGCAGATCTAAGTACATGGTACTAAATTGACACTCACAGTGTTAAGCAAGCAGACCTAGTTATCACTTGCCTTCCTTAATGAAAAGGCACATTAAATGTTTAATGTCTCTAAATTGTTCTGTGCTTGTTTCCAATCATACATATGTCCTGTAACTAGGTAGTTTAAATAATGCCTTTTCATAAACTGCTCAGGACAATAGCTTCTCAAATATGGAAATGCTGTATATGTATACAAGAAATTCAAAAATACCCAGGCATTTTAGAACTGACTACTGTGGTAAATGCATTTAATAGGGGAAGAGGAAGGTATTTTCCGTTGCATAACTCTTTGTTCATGAAAATTTCCATACACTTTTTAAACTATTGAATAAAAGTTTGCTATAAATGCTGTTGCGTTTCAAAATATATTTAATCCTAAATCAAGAATTTCTTATCCATGACCCAGTGTTGTCCCTTTTGTTGTAATATCTTTAAAGGTTTTTAACTTCAGCGTTGCCAGTTACATACATTGTAGCCCTCTCTTGACAGCTATTTGAGTGAGCTATTAAGCTTTTATGTAGAATTGAAAGTATTGCTGTTAGAGTGGAATTAAAGGTCTAGGTTTTTTTCATGTGTCCCTGAGAGGGTATTTTGGTTTCTGGAAGTAGAAGCAAGTTCCACTTGGGGTTTAAAGAGATATTTTAAAATCTGTTTGAACATAATCCAAAAGAGTGCTCCCAGGTCTAGGTATTTTAGTATTAAGAAAGAATGCAGAATTATTTAAGTACCTACTAAGCTGCTGCAGTAAGGACATGAAGATATGGTGGTATAAATGCAGAAAAAGTTATTTGTGGGTTTACTAAAATGAGATCTTAATTAAGGAAGGGTGAGAGATTTATACTAAAATACATCTTTTAAAGGAGCAGACCACTGGAAGGGTTTTTGTGTGCCTAAGTGGTTTTATTTATTAAATTCAGGGTTGTAACAACTATTCCTGGTGTCATACATGTGTATATGTTATATCAATCCTGCAAGGCAGGTTATAGAATGTGGCATATCGGGAAAAAAGGCTGTGGTTCAAAGAAGTGTTATCTCTTTTCAGATATGAAGAACTTGAAAGAGTATTTCTAAAACAGGAACTGTCTTTATTCAGCAAGTTTTAATGACTTGGTTAAATGTAATTAGTGTTCTGTTGTAGTTAATTTTAGCAGGAATGTTGCTATAAACCTTTTTCCACAACTGCAAACCTCCCTGGTGCTGTACAGTGGGCTTATAGCTACTACAAATTCCCAGTCAGTTTGGGCCAAAGCCTCTAGCTTCTGTCCTGTAAATTTTATAGTGCTTTTCTATGCAAAACATTGCAGCATTTTGGAAACATTAAGTGTTTAGTGGTGGTCTTATTTGGTTTTAGTGGTGAACTCACTTTAGTGGTGGTCGTATTTGGTTTTATATTTAAATTTGTTTCATTTAAGAATTGAAGCTTCTAAAATTTTCTGTCGCTTAAGACTTGTAGAGATTAGAGGCTTGTGCTATGCAGTACAAGCTGTTTAATTTCTTGGGTTTTTCCCTTAGGGAAGTTAAAGAGGGGACCAATAAATTGAACATGCAAGTGCAAACCTACTCGCATTTTTGTTTTCTGCAGCTGTCCTCGTCTGTGAGTTGATAATCTTTATTAAATACCAGAGTTGGCTGCTGGTTTATAATAAAGCCAAACCAAACTGTTATGAAGCAAGCTTGGGATTCAGTAGGCTTTGTACTGCTCAAGACTCAGGCCAGAAAAGCTGAGGGATTACACTGCCAGGTCTGGGACAAGTTAAAGATGCTGAGATGGATTTTTAGGAGGTCTGCCATCTTACCTGCACTTTTCAAGAAAACAGGGAGCCATCCAAGAATTAGACACTGGTACCTTACAACTCCCCACTTCAGTGTATTGAGCTGGTTGGCCTTTCCTAGTGTTGGCTGAAAGATGGATGCTGTTGCATTTAAGCAAAACTACATTAAGACAAGTAATTTACTAGAGTTTCTTATTAATGCAGTGTAAAAGCAGAAGCAGATTAGGAGGTTGCATGCAATTTCTAGGTGGTTTTGTTCAATGATTAGTATACTTTGTAATAATCTTGGGTGAGATCAAGCCCTGTTCAGAGCCAGGAAGTTGCATTGTTCATTATGTCTGTAAGGAAGCTAATCCTAGGGGTTAGCCAGGCTGAAAGCAAATAGTATGTGTAAGAGGCCTGTCTTGAGAACTTATGCTGTTAGTAGAGAAATGGGAGTCAAGCAGGACTCAGGCAAAAAGCTTTTGAGGTAAAAAGGAAGGGTTACATTTTCTCAGTGCTCAAGGGTTGGGCTGTGGACTGGGCTTCCTGCCCCAGCCCATTCTTCCCATTTTGTACAAGCCTTATTCTGTAAAGCAGGTGCTGCACAGAGCAACCCATGGAAGCAGCTGAGTGGGGTGTCCTGGGCACTGGAGCTGGGACAGATCTGGCCTGGGTAAGGGGAGGAAGGCACTTCCAGCTCTGCTGCTCTGGCAGGTGCAACACAAGCCCCCACCATGGCTTCTTGCAGGTGGCAGTGCTGTCCCTACTCTGTAACTCCCCACACCTCCTCTTGGTGCCAATGTTCTGGGCAGCATCTTTTCCTCTCCTCAGGTGCAGGAGGGAAACAAAAGCACATCTGCTCTGCTGTTTCTGTTATGACCATAAAAAATAGATGATACCGTGGTGCTGCTCCTGTTTACACCAACAATCCTCTATCAGTCATGCCATTGGCCATTTGTCAAAAAACAAAATTTAGAAGCAGAACAACTCCAAATGCAACAGAGTTTAAAAAACCCAAACTTTATTGTTATTATGTCAAAATAATTTGTATTTATACACAAATAAAGAAATTATTATAAACTTAATAGATTTTGCTTTAATAATCTGATGCATATTAGTACTTGGCTCCTCAGCTTCCACTGTGCAAGGCTTTTTAAAAACACAGTTCATATCCTCCATGGTTTTGGCCTAAATTTATAGCCAGTTCTAAGTGCTCCATCCACCAGAAACCTCTGCAAACAGCATGTACTTTGTGCAGTTAAATCATAACAAAGCCATTCCTGAGGTGTACATGCTTGTTGGACTGACACAGCACCACTGTGCAAGTGGCTCGCTTTGTTGTGAGCTCCCAAGTACCAGGAGAGGTGTGCACTGAAGAAGAGCAAGTGAAGGTACACGTCCCTTCTGCATCTGCTTTTTTATTTCCAGGCAGTTTTGTGTGAAATAGTTAATTTCATAAAGCCTTACATAACTGCATAATGAAGAGGCAAGGAAGACAATGTAATGTTTGTGCTAAAATCCTTTACATCAGTGTTTTCTTAATCTCTCTACAAGTACTCATTATGTTTTGGACCCACTGGTTATTGTAGCATTCAGCTCATGTTTCCAATAAGTTGGCAGTAGCTTGGACGCCTCAAAGGCATTAAGCAGTTTTATTTTCTGGCCCTCGTCTAAGCTACTGAGAGAAAGCTAATGATCTTTAATTGCCAACATCAGTCTTGGGAGTTCAGGACAGAAGTGTAAGAGCTAGCTAGAGGTGTTAGCCCATTCCCTCTGGCCTGGATAAATGGCCATGTTTTCACCTGTGATGGGCAGATAGTGGTATCCTGAATATTGTAAGCTCTCCCTTTAAATTATTTGAACCTTCTTCAAGGCTTCTCTGTGATCATGACACATAACTTAGAAAGAATGCAATCATTCAGTTATAAAGGATCTATAAAAGTATCATCATGATTTGGCATTACTGTTTTTTGGTGGAGTACCACTGGGAAGTTCCACAGGAGTCTCTGTTCATAGGATGGGTATCAGTGGCTGTAAGCAGCTCATTGTTTATACATGCTATGTCTGTCTGCATTTTCATCCTAAGCTGTGTGCGTGTGAAGTCATTGTAGTTGCTTTCCTACAGGTTTCATTCTCTAAAGGCAACGGCTTTACATGGTTTTGCTTTTTCTGCCTAATCTGTTTTGGGGGAAAAGGTTCACACACAACTTTGAGAGATCAGAACGGTATTGGCTGTCAAATTCTTAACAAAATCAACAGATGGGAGTGGTCCTTAACATGATGTTATATTCACATTTTTGCTATTCTGTGCATTCTAGAATTTAATACTCAGGATAATTTCTACTTAAAGATTTTCAGGGAAAAGATGAGGAGTCAGTGCTGAAACTGATTCCTAGGTTTGGCAGTCTCACCGGTTGGCACTGGGCATGTCACTTGTCCTCACTGTTAATTTCTCTCTATCCAACCGAGAGGATAGTATCTATTATGGAAGAATGTTTTGAATAGCATTTTTAAAGTGCTTTGAAGATTAGAAGTGCTGTTCAAATGTTCATTAATTATGCTGCATTTCTTGCAAGATGAATAGATTATTGATTTGATTTTGTCACTTCATTTCAGAGTTGTTAAAAAAATAAAGATCTACAGATAAGAAATGCTATCACAGATTTTCACTAAAAGAAACCTTTAAGCTAAGTACCAACTTAACTAGAAAACAAGTATCTCTGGGACAAAACAGAGATGTCTGTATGCATTCCTTAATATATGGAAACTGATAAATATGCAATATGGCCTCTGCAAAATGTAAGTTTAGGCTAAACTTCACACTCTGCAAGATTTCTCTGCAAGAAATTTTCTGACAGTTCTGTGTGAAAATCCATTTCAAGAGCTAAGTCACAGGCAAGGTCCACACATATTATGTTAAACTTACACAAACACTCTGCTAGCTGCAGAACAGTAAGTGTGCTTATGGCAGGTGTAAGTACTGCCTCCAGTTTGCTTTCTGAAAAAACCTACTTTTTAGTTTAGTAATTTTAGACAGTTTGGGGCTTCAGTGTTAAGACAGGCCTTTCAAGATGTATGCAGTGGACCACATCCTCCGCTGGCACAAGCTGCAATGGCTTCAGCAGAAGTGCCAGCATCCTCTGGGTTGCTAAGCTTGTCTTTGCCACCCAACTTAGAGTGATACAAGATGTATCACAATCCACAGCTGACATTCTCAAACTTGAGAAAGAGTAAGTGGAAAAAGTACCATCCTACCTTATTTTTTCCTTCATGCTGAAGCAGCATTAATCTCAATTGTCAGCCTATTTCCATAGTTAATAGCTAGCTTTAGTCAAATGCTAAAAAGAGATTGGGTATTGAGTGGTACCAATTTAGTGCTTATTGCTGCAGGGCCACTTGGGAGATTGTGTTGTGTTATCTCTGTGGTTTCTGTGTGACATAACTATTTGTGCCACTGCATGTCAGATTAGAAATCCTGGGTATGTGGATCCTTTGTTCAACTATCAGCACTCTCTAAGCTGGATACTTCTTCGGGTACCAGCAAAGCCAAGTCCTCCCCATTCCAGCTTGTGCACAGAAGCCAGCTGTAAGACAAAGATAAGACAGGTATCTTTAGCTGAGATAGCATGCTGATTCAGCACCAA